CACACACATTTACATGCAAGCCGCATTTCAGAGATGATGGATTACGACGGGAAAGCGAAACAGTGACCGCGACTGGAACAAAACCCAACGGTCTCAAAACGACATTTTTACATGGGTGATTTTAATCCTGTATGTCGTTTGAGTAACGGAGGATTTGATTCAATGTCAAAAGGGGGAATTGGTCGTGTATATAGCAGATGAGGCGAGAACTGAAAAGCTAGGAAGCACTGGACAGCTGTTTCGACCTGGTTGCGTCTCATCCATGCAGTGCGAATCCATCGACCCAACTGGAGATCGAGCCCGGGACCTCATGGGCAGAACACAAGTATGCTACCTTCTCGGCCACCGTGGAACAGCTGATCAGACCGTTTTTCCCTTTCCATGTATACGATATAACACAACCCATCTTTGCGAGCTTGTTGCAGGCCACATACCTCGCTCATCTCAGAACTTACACCGACCACATTGGTCATGAAAAACAAGCGCGACGAGACATTAAAAAAATTATTGCGTCAACTACATTTTGAACAAAAAATTTGAATTTGTCTAGCATCCAGTTCATTTTAAAATCTATTGATGCGGTGTGTGAAACCTTGGTTTGCCTAACCAGCCTATCTGGGTGAGTGTGTCTCTTCCGTTTAGGAATAGAACACAGAAAGTTGCATCGGAAGGAATGTCGGGGAAAAACAATTATGATCCTAAACTAAGCCAATAATTATAAAGCTAACGTAGTTTTATCTACAGAAATGTCGAGCTCGTGATTTGCGTCAGATATCTTCAAACGTCTAGCGTTGGAAGATCCTCCTTCATGAGGAGTATGGTATGAATCCACACCAGACAGAATAAATCTGTAATGCCATATATTCACTTAAAATGCTGTCTCTATTAGTCGAATATCTCGATTCTGATGTCCATTCGTGGCGCATTAGTTGTGAGATAATGAATGCGAACTCGTTAGAAAAAAACAGAAGGATTTATTTACAAAACAAATGATGTAGAGGGACGACAAAAGTAGCGCACTTTCATTTTAACATTTAACATTGTGTGCCCTCTATTTCATTTTGAGAATTTGGTTTAATCATTTTGGCATTTCTCCGTTTCCTTCGGAACATGTCGAACCTTGGTCTCTAAAGTTCACTTTCTTTCACACAGAAAAACCTTTTTTTCGATTGAATTCACATATGAGCTGTTATGATGTAAATGAATGAATTTGACATCAAAGCTTTCCGATCCATAAATCGTGTAAATTCGTAAAACAAACAAACATATAATGAGGTATAACAAAATTCTCTGATAAATTTCGCGTGAGATGTGACAGAAACCTACTTGGTAAGTGCAATAATTTTTGCCGCTATTCGAGAGTGAAACTCACGATAGCCCAAAAACAAAGCGCTCAATATTTGCTTCTCAACCCACTCATCCAACTAGATCAACGTATATACTTCTTTGATAGGTGAAATCGATTTGATTGGATTTCTTTCTTCGTTTGGTGTCATGCTCGTCAACCGTTATAGATTCGTCAGTGAAATAAACGAAATAATAAAAATTATGGTGAAATCAATTTGAATGTGTTTGGAAAATCGATACATGCCCACCCTGGTCAGGTGATCAACAACGGCTTAAAATAGACCGACCTCGGGTAACACCTGAATTTAACCATAATTTTCTTCAACGGTGGTATGATCAAATCGCGGCTAATCCACCTGGACTATCCTCGATATTGATTACTTACTGCTTTTCTCAGCTGCAACGGAATGTATCCATCGGCTTACTTCGGTGTGGTCGAGTTTCTTCTTCGACGTTAATGTCTTGATAGAGATATTCTCTTTGTTTTGCTATAAATTGGGCTTGTGTTCACATCGGAGCGTATGTACAAGTCAGAATCTGATATGTCCGATTTATGTGCTTTTCAAATAAGTTACCTGCCCGTTTCACTTGTGTGCCAAACAATCCTGGAAGTTTTATTTGATTTGGGGCATACTCACATCACGAATCATTGATTCACCGAGCAACGCCCCTCAAGATCGATTTTTGAAGGTCAATGTTTGCTTTTCTTGGTTTGCATTTTACTCTGTTCATGACGAGGGATTCTGCGTGAGCAGTTTGTCGTCACATGGTTTGCGAATTTATTTAGAAAAGATCATCATCTATCGGTGAACTTACTGTATACCTTGTGCAAAAAGGTGTGCTTGTGAGAAAACCTGGATCGACCGGATTAAACGCCCCTCATGAAATATTAATCATTTATTGGGAGAAATGATCTTCCAGGCTGCTCTGTATCACACATTTTCTAATTCTGAGCTGTAAATTCTGATCTAATGTAAGGTATATTGTGGCGCTCGAGGTCGTGCCAATTCAAATAGTAATACATGAGAATTAAAATGATTGCAGTGGGAGATAAATTGTGAGGAAAATACCCTATGCTCACGGCTATCAATAAACAAGTATGATATATTTCTGATAAATATTTCTCAATTGAGGATCACGTTGCATGAGTTAAATCAATACTTACATATGTTTATATAAATAATTTTAAGCTGTTCAGGATAGACTTACTAAAATCGATTTACGGATGAAGCTTCCACACAAATCCATAAGAATATCTTGAAAATTCCCGGGATTACCATGTTTTTCAAGTTATTCCTCCAATAAAAGTGATCCGTTTTTTCAGTTTTGCAATATTAGAAAGGTATGTTGTTTATTTTCACATAAAAGTCACCGAATAAAGCCCAAACTGGATAAGTTACTGCATTGTAACGCTAGTAGTCTGTGTTTTTCGACCCATATCATTTAGTAACATCAGAAGTTAGGGACTTTTATAGGAAAGTCAGGCGGGAAATAGTGATTATTTTGAAGACGTCAAGGAAAATGGCATAACAAGAGCGGAAAACTGCTGTGTCTTCCGGTGCAAGCCTAATCGAGGTTAATTACTACTTGTGAACGTGGTATGGGTTGTTCTAAATAGCCCAGATATTTTTCTATCGAACCGTTTGTAGTATTGTGCATAAAACCTTATGTTCTTTGCATGCATAGGGTATGGTTAATTTTGGCTTCATCGATTCTTTATCACTGGGTAGTTTGTCGATTGTTCCACTGTTAACGAAGTTGAACACCGTTAATCAAATTGAGATACTTTTGAGTTGCACACATATCAACCAGTGAGCGTATGTTTGATTGTAGTGCCGAAACGCGAAGCAGGATAAAACGGTTTGCCACAAGAGTGGTACTTGATGGATGATTTGTTTTTGGACGTTCCCTCATATTACGCGGATTTTTGTTGTTTTATATGTTCAGAGAACAAATTCAGTGAACTATCGATCGTATAGCTTGTTCATAAGAGCCAACAAATTCCCTTTCGGGTGACTCAAAATCCGATAGCTTCTTCTGAGGGAATTTGCGTATTCAAAGATGCAAACTTAAGTGTATTCTCCCATTGACTATCTCCTTCAGGTCCAGCTTGTGCGCTCTTCAGAACCTTATTTTGGCATGTAAACGAAGGTAAACCATACTATCAATTACTTCAGAGGCAAGTTCTTGTAGAAGACAGGCTCGATTTGTAGGCACAGCACCTAACTAACATTGTAGTCTGTCAAGCTCCTAACTCTTTTACCATTCTGGCGTGATACTGCTGAAGCCATTACCTCGGAGAGTGTCAGTTATTTGCCGTAAAACCTCGTCCACCAATACGAAATTGGCCCCAGACTGCTTTTGAACCGCTCCCATGTCGTGTGTCAGCATCCTTTGCCTGTCCGATTCGTTTCGTGTGTATTTTTAGCAACCGGTATGTTTTTTCGGGCTTCTTCTACCACGTGTAAATAAAGAGGTTTGTACGCCCTTCGACAACTTTTTGTAAAGGCCTCAACACACACACTACATGCACCCAAACTAATCAGACTTTGTCGTCCGATTGTTAGGTTAGCATCACATTTGTCCGAAACATCCAAAGTGGTGACATGAATATAATTTTGGTTATAAAAAGTTCGAGAGAGCACTGATTGTTCCCATCATTGGCATTCGTTCGGCCACACACGGAGTACGCCGTTCAAGTATGGAATCCAAGGTTGAACCGCGACAGGAAGGCTCTAAAACGGCCACAAACGTTGGTAACAAAATTGGTGAAAGGTCGGTATAACAGGACATGCTCTGAAAGACTGCAAATATTGGGACTTTACTCATCTCAATACCGCCGACTTCGGCGGGACCTAATCTTGGCATATCACTTACTGCATAAAACCCAACCACCCGTGCCGTTATATGCTAACTTTATCTCAAAATGATCACCTCAGGAGACATCCAATAAGGTTGAAGACTCAGAACAGCCACTCGTTTGCAGTCAAAGTGTGCGGCATACGGAATTCCCTCCCATCGGATGTAGTGTGTGCTCTTACAGTTATTAAACTATTTAAATCGCAACTTGGTAAAGCGTTGGTACACTTAAAATTTCGACATCCGTGAGTGATCATGCAAATCTTTATTATTATTATTATTGTTATTATTTTCTCTTTGTGAAGTTATTAAAAAGATTCTGTAAAAATTCTATGAGTCATGATAAGCTTTAGCTTTGTGAAATCACTCAATAAAACTTTAACTTTGGCTTTGTGCAAATGGTCAAAATGGTACAGGCAATAACATCGAGAGGTTGCTCCATCCTCATGTCTTACAACTCGGTAAAGTAGCATAAATCTGATCGGGCGCTTTACACGTCCATCACATCTGAACGCACAGCAGATTTTTGCGTACTGCGATAATTCACAACGGGGAAACTGCATTATTCGCTTGAAACTTAAAGGATCTATGACAGAGATACGTACCGCAACTAGTCGTGTGGCGAAGCTCATCACATCTCGGCTCACTTCGATACATATCCCTTGGAAATCGTACAAATAGTATCTGATGAAACAAAGCAAGAGGAAAAGGGAGAAACCGAAGAGAAAATTAAAATCAAAATTTACATCGTAAGCTGCGAACAGGTACCGTTGAGCGATTAGCAGTTTTCACTCACTGAGTCAGAGCAGATTGATTGACCATGGCTTCGACCAAAGCACAATTGATTTCCTTTAAACTTTGTCCAACCTGAGTTTAAAAAAAATACAAGAGAAACATTAGCAGAACATCCGCAGCGAGAGATAGAGTGAAAGAGTATTCATCAAATACACCAATTCGAATGTGGTGAGTTCTGAACGATCATAACTTGTAGACACACACACACAGTGAAGCGGGAAGCGAGACGCTAAAAACAGTTCCGTTTGGAGAGAAATAATCTGCTTAACTGCGTATCACATGTCAGTTTGCACCCGCGCAATTTTGAATTTGAAAGTTTCGCAAGCAACGTATCACTCAGTGAGTGCAAACGAAGGAGTTTTATCCATTTTATAACTCTGCTAGTACCAGTCGGATATTAGATGTCAGTCACGAAAATTCACAAATTTATCCACGCCTGTACAATGTCATTAATTGTTCATTGGAAAAACGCATTCCTTTGCATGCGTGAATATTATAATAGTCGGAAATAANATAAGCACAGGCACGGTTGTTATGACAACCAGGAGATCAACAGCTACACTTGTTGTCTTACTTATTTGAAATCTTCTAACCTTTAGAAGTCCATCTCTCAGTAATCGCAAAGACATAGTTATTACAATTTGCAAATCTATGCAAGTGTCGCTCTCGCGAGATTATTTCGCATCATAGGACGTAAAAATGCCGAGATAAATTTTCCCGCAAATCATTCTCCTATTGTGATATCGATCGATGAAAATGATCGGCCAAAATCGTCCGGATTTAGCAGTGTGGGAATTAAGCCCACCGTGTGACGGTTATGAGGAGGCACATTTGATCATTTTCCCAACAATTTTGGTTTTTGAATGTTATCGATTTACTCATTCGAACAAAAAACGTTTCGGAACAGATTTTCCTTACCATACTATCCGTGTTATCATCATATATGTTTGACCCCCACATAACATCCCAAAATGATGCATTCATTCAATCAATATGCGGACCGTCGATGACCATGCAGCTCAGAAATAAGCTTATCGGCTCCTGCCCGGAATTAAGCGATTTCCAACCCAAGTGAGACAGAAACAGATTACGCACTGTTGATGAGCCTAACAGAGGACGAAACCATTGTCCATTGCTCAGTATCGACCATCGTAAAGTAATCGATTGTAAATGCAATTCATTTAACTAGTGCGGAGTAAGCAGTCTCCCAAGGAGTGAATACAACAGCCGGGTGTAACAATAGGGTCTAGCGTCTGTACAAATCGAATAGGGTTATTCAAGCGTTGCATTTTAAACTATGCATAGCTCCATGGTAGCATGTCACTTTTGTTCTGATAGAATAATGCCACATTAATTTCTAAGTGTCTTTAATCTCATTTCCATGGCGAATCAGATTATCGATTGGAGTGTAAAACCTTTATACGAATAGTTTTAAGTTAATTAGAATGAATGTGGTCAGAGAAGTAACTCACCAGTTAGATTCTAGATTCGAAAGTAATACTTCTGAACACACATTCCCATGCGTCAATTAATTCAATTGTTTAATGTGTTCGGAAGGCCATCAGAGAAGAAAAACAACTACTATTGGGTATAAAATTTAGTGAATAATTTACCGGAATTTCACTTTGAATCGTGGTCTGTTTCCGAGGCAATCACACTTTATTTTCGGGTCAATAAGTCTATTTGTTTTAAGGGAGTAATGGAGGATTTTATTCAATTTTAACGGTAAAATTCGTCATAAATATAGCAAATGAAGCGTGAACTGAAAAGCTAGGAAACACTGAACAGCTGTTACGACCTGGTTGGGTCTCATCTGCAGTGCGAATCCATCCATTGTNATGGATTCGCACTGCTGATGAGATCCAACTAGGTTGAAACAGCTGTTCAGTGTTTCCTAGCTTTTCAGTTCACGCTTCATTTGCTATATACACGACGAACGAACTTTTGAAGTCTGTTTGTGTATGGTTTTTCTGATCAGAACTGTATGCCAACAAACGGTATAAAATTACGTAAGCAGTACATGATCCCCTGTTCTACCCAGTTTTACCTCTTTTTCTCCTTTGGAAGAAACAAGCACCAATGCGGCCTGGTTGATGACGTAACAGTGCACATTGGGCGATCCACATGGTTGACAGTGACCGGCCACACAGCTATTGGTCACGCGATCAAAGATTGCTTTCAGCTGACTATGGGTCAGTTGAAGTCCGACCACAGCCATAACCACATCGTTCTGGGGAGCTTTGAAAACGGGCCTGGTCATGGGTATGGGAACAGCCAGCTGTTGCCCCGTATAGTGACGAAATACTGTTAGAAAAACGGGAATAATTTTACGTGAAAAGTGGAAAGCGTGGAAATGAAAATTCGAGGCAACCGGATGACTTACAGTTACTGACCAAACTCGTGCAACACCCTGACACTTTCATCACATTTGATCTTCCCAACACTTAGTTTTTCCAGCATCATTCACGCGATTGAATATGATAATGCCCCACGTCAGATGCAACATATTCGTAATAATATCCACCTATGTATTACTTTTGTTAGTTGAATGCCCATGAAATGTACGGTTTCTCGATTTTGACGATGATTGTTGTGCATCAGTTGTAAAAATAACAAAGCCACAGGAGAAACGGTAACTGAAATTTATTCATCGAAATAACTCATAGACTTCATACAGGTATTGTACTTTCACCTGGTCCATATTCTATTTGCCTGTCTTCAGTTTTAAGCATTGGAGGCAGGTACTTTAGCAGGAATCAATCGTAAGAAAGGATGAATTTCGATGATGCTTTGCAAATCTGAGACGTAACTTTTGAACGACTACAAATTTTATCGCGACACTCAAGGTCACGCAAATTCAAACGATGGTAGAAAGGAACTAAGAACATAGATGTTGGAGATAAAGTCAGGAATAAATACACACCCATAGCTATCTATATACAAGTATAATATTGCAAGACTGAAATGGATTTTTAAAATGAGAGTGATGTTGCACGAGTTTGGTCAGTACCTGTATTCGATCAGAACACCTTACCGAATGACTGAGTTGAAAAGTGAGAACTTGGTTTTCCCACAAATTATATCTATACGTACCAGTGTGACTAACTGCTCACGAGCACACACACACACACAGACAGGCGAACCCCTTCACTGAACTAAAAGATTGTGTCTTGCTTGACATTCGGAATTTCGATGTTTGTGGAAGCAAAAATAAAAACAAACGGAACTGAGAAAACACTCCAGTATTCGTCACGTGACGGATACATACTTGATCGAATCAATCTGAGTGAACGGTAGTTTGGTTTTCAACCTACTACTCGCAAGTAGGCCTTCGTGGGTTTTTGCGTCACCGTGGAGCACTAAACCAGGTTCAACAGCTGACGCTGGAAAACCTAATCAATAATATTCTAATTTGCTCTTCCACTACCAACTGGATTCGATGAATCATTTCTAACACTCATTTAGGTGTGCGTCACCTGATTCGTATACATTTTCCAGTGTGACATGCGTCATGCATGCATGCGTGCATACGTGGATGTATCAATCAAAATTCGGTCACCTGACGCTCAACCCTGATTGTGAACGGCTAACTGCCAGGATTGTCATTGCAGTACGTTGCTTTTTCCATTCCAGTTCATTCAAAATAGAACTGGCGTATTGATTTAAATATTTTGAGTGAATGAAGTAAATGATGGATTCAAGCGAACGGTAACTTGCGGTGCGGTGCAAAAACAACTTGACGGTGATTTTTGTGAACTGGGATCGTGGACCCAGTCGTTTGCCTCTGAATTGATCCCGTACGAAGAAAACGCTATTCGTGAGTGATCGTTTTCGGGGATTGGCAGTCGAAGTTTTATTATGGAAGATTGCTTTTCTAGTCCCATAGGGTTTAGCACAGATGAATCAATTCACGAATCATAGAAATTGGACGAATGTCACAATTTATCCTTGTTTCATGGACTGCTACGGATGTTGAAATTTAAGGCTTATCAAAGCTTTGTCCAGTTTGTGTTCGAAGGAATCAATCGTGGGCCCAGAAACAATGTGGATTGGGAGAGAATTCCAAGTAGTTCACACTCTGAGGGCGAATGAATGACTCCGGCATTCTAGTCGAACATTTTGCAGCACTAATTTGAATGAGTGCCTACCGTGGCGAGTGTTGGGTGATAAGACGAACAGTGAACGGTATGGGTGATCAGGGTTTTGTATTATTTGATACACCAAAATCAAGTACCATTGAGTTCGGCGATACTGTGTGGAGTACAGCCTTAATGATTCCAGTCTTGGAGTGCAGTTCATTGACCACCTTGGTGGCTAGTCTTTGTGGACGCTGGAGAATCTTACGATCGCGTTGCAACCATGAATTCCACGCTTGGATCGCATACTCCATGTGGGGCCGAATGTATGCTGATAACTGTGGAAACAGCGTAGGTTCAAATTTGTCAAATGCTCACTTTAGCAAACCAACATGTCTTACAACGGTGGACGACGCCCGGAATTAGTATAAAGAACAGCTGAGGTCGTCTTGGACAATGACTTCCAGATCTTTCCCGTTCGAAACATACAGAAGTTGTTGATCTCCCAGGAAATACGGAAACCCAGATCTGACACTGTCAGTCTAACCGCATATGAACTACGTCTCTGTCGGTTTAGTCCATCTTGCAAAAACTGAGAACCGTGAATTGCTTTCCTTGGCCAATAAAAGGTCAAAACGTATCACTTTGCTCTTCAGGTACCAGATGTACAGCTGACTGATTTGGTCAGTGGATGAGTTTTTGAATTGTGTTCGTGACTGATCATTTGATCCAATTTCACCGGAATAAAGTACAAATGAGGTACTGTGAAGTTGTTTTCGCTCCACTTTGTGTTTTGCCCGTTCTTGTCAAACCCCATCGATGACAGTTGGTTGTTTTTCAGCCCTTGGGACGATTGAGATCGCGTTTCGATTAGATAACAGCAGGTGAAACCGAAAAAATCTATGCTATTTGTTTACAGTCGTATGGAAGGGGTTCATGAAGAATGTATTGTTTCTCTCACTGGTAATATACAGCACCTAATCCAACTGACCCTCAATTGTTGCTCCCAATTCCGTGCTGTTCTATCCGGGGAAAATTGGAAACACCGTCAGTTGTGAACAGGTCACATACGTCAGTGTTGAACCACTCTCATTGTATGTGTATGGTTTTCAACAATAAAAGCAATTAAATGAGTTACAGTACTTAGTTGCTTTGAGTTCACTAATTTGAGTTCGCGTAATCCCTTTGACTAACCGGACAAAAGTCATTTTCTGAACAGAACATTTCGGATGTGCCAAGAGGGTTGTAAATGCCACTACGTTCAATCGACCCGATCCACCAGTCAGTCTGTCGGTCAAATAAAATTCTATCACCCACCTTGATTAGAGATGAGCTTTGCATGGACAGATCCTATCTATATACTACGGGCGGTGGTGGCCCGGTGGTAACGTCACCAAATTATCACCCCGGGTATGTGTTTTAATCCCACCACCACCGCCCGAACTTTCCTCGTTTTGTGTTGAATGACAGCCCTTTGAATGGCCACTTCCTCCGTCTTGAAAATTGTATCTTTGTTTATTCAGTAAAAGCAAGTAAAAATGAAAAGAAAAGAAAAAAGTATATCTACCAGGAATTGAACACGGGCATGTTTGCTCTGCGAATTCAGACAGGAGGATCACCGGATCAGAAACGTGTGGTCAAGAGCAAAGCTGATTGGGTACAAGCTGCTTCATGGATAGGATGGATAGGCGGATATTGCGGACAAAAATCTGCTTTTGGCTTGATAAAAGTTACTGATCCAGACCGCATGTTTCAATTCCGGCCAGAACAATCTGTCTGGTCCTGTCTTTTCGCTTCCTTTTTCTATTTACTGAATATACAAATGTACAGTCAATATTCAGGAAGGGGGCCACGGCCATACAAAGGCTGCCTGGGAAGATACAGAAATGGGGAAGATGGGTGGCGGTGGAGCGGTTCGAACTCGGGACACCCAGGTCACTAGTTGGTGACCGAACCACCTGGCCACCACCGCCCACCGTCCGTTTGCGCTTAATTAGAGTCACCAGTATTCATTTGCCATAAGTGAGTGCTACGTACGCATTCCTCTATCACTTCCCATTGATCGCCCAATCACGTGACACAGCTGTTCACGACAGACACTGACTAATACTCCCCCAATCCGTTCTGTCCATGCGCCAGCTTGACCTAATTGTCGGTCATCGTTTAATCGATTGATGTACTCTCACGATCATTTACCAAATCGTTAACCCGATTCCGATCCGCACGCTCTCTTGTGTGTTCTGATTTTCTGTGTTGGGTTACGGGCCCTAAATTACCGTGCACAGCGTCGTGGTTGGAATTCGGTCTTAACAGTAAGTATACTGTAATCTGATTTCATCATCAGCAATAGGAGGTATTGTTTTTAGATTCCCTTTTGTGTATTGAGCTCATCACACAACGTTGGCTAATATGCACAAAGCTTTTAGATGCACGTGCATATGAGGTTTCACAAGGTGCTTTTAAGCACCTCTGAGACTGATGAAACTGGTTGATTAATCAATACGTGAACAGTTTTCCCCAAATAAACTTGGTTCCTATGAGGGCGAGTGAGGCCTCATTTGCATTACTCCTCAAATGTTGTCAGGTAGTCAGGTAGTGTACCATTTAAACCGTTTGCTAGGGATTTCTTGCGGACACTGATCATCGTGAATTGAGAGGAGGAAGAAGTCAGTTCAGTATCCGAACATGTAAGGATCTTGCGTGTGTGCGTGTGTTTGTGTACTGTGTGTGTGTGTGTTTATGTGTGATGAACTTGATTGGTTACAACCAGGGAAGGCCAAGAGTAAAGGTAAGGATCAATCGGCCGGTTGATAAGTCATGGAAAGCTATCGTTTTAACGGGTGGGGTTCCGTAAAATGTTGATTTCAATTTCTCTGAGAAGGGTCCAGCTGCTGTACATCCTGATCTCGGTGGTCACTGGTTCGATCCGTTGATGGAGGAGGCTGGGCAGTCTGGATGTATGTGAACACAATCTTGGACACATAGGCTCCGACCGCATAAACTACGGTAACCTCTAATGAATTTCCATCTTCACATAACATCTTATTGTTTAGGCTCAGATGAAGTGAAGGCTGTGACCATGAATTCTCCAAAAAGGATACTTGGTTTTGTTTGAGTAACCCCACTGTATGGCGTCCACAAAAAAAACCTGAATTGATTTCTGTTAGTTAGGGGTGCTGAAACT